TGCTTTGACTCACTAGATAAGGTGTTGATGTTAGCCACCCACCCACAAGCCCCTCTGTCTTTCCCATCAGCCTGTGAATCGTATTCCCCCTCTGGTGTAGTTCTTACTAATTTAATTATAACCATGACTGGACCCAAAATAATTCTTGTGTCCAGGCTTTGGAAATCTTCACCATGTGCTTCAGCTCCAATTAGAGATGCTCCAGTCATGCTTTTTACAGCTGATACCAATCAGCTGTGATTACATATCAACATTTGGGCTCTGTTCTGAAATACCTCAGCAGAACACCCTGATAAAAACCAGTTTTGTGCCTTTGTGTTTTCTTTGTAGTGTATGTACAGTTACTACAGTATAGAATATCTTTAATATATGAAGAATGTGCGTTCATGCTGGTGTGGTTGTCCCATACAGTGTATTTCCTTCTTCTCCTTTACAGTGAATGTTGGCTCTGTGTGTAATTTATATTTTTACAACCCTGCTCTAAGTGCCACCCTGCCTCCACTGCCACATAAGTGACCGCATGTCCTTGTTCGGAGCCCCTCCACCCTTTTGATGTGTGTGCAGATTGTGGCGTGGCCAAGGAGTGTTAACATTGCCTCCACAACCACAAAGTACCACTGCACCATAAGAAGTAGATATTCATCCAGCGAGGGGTACAGCAGACTATAGGCAGCACTGCTGGCTTATGAAACCAAAGTGAAGTAAAAATATTAGGAGCTCTATACTCTATAGGTCAGGTTAGAAGGATGTTTAAGACCCCCATAGAGAATTATCACCTAACTCAATAGTCCCCCTTAGCTCTACTGAGCATTTTAACATCTCATCATTGTCTTGATTTTACAACCTGTCACTTTAGTGGTGTGGTTGTGTCACAGTTGTCATTGACACCATTTCCAGTAGCTGTTTTCTGAAGGGGAAAAATAACACTACTACCTGCCCATTACCAAACAGCACACAGACTAGCTAAGAGCATAGCAGAGCACTTAGCAGCTAAAGAGCTTGGTATTTCCTTTAGCAGAGCAAAGCAGATTTTTTCACAGCTTGTCTGTCCCCCAAGCCACCAATAAACATTAACTCGGCTATGGGAATTTTTGTATTTTATTAAAGAGAGAAGTAGATCATTTATGCCTTATTTGTTCATATTTGCAACTTTAATTTTATCACAGGACTATCTTCAGTGTTTAGAGGTGGCTAAAAATAAATCCATACTTCATTGTCAGTTCATTTTGATTGTGCTGGTAGGTTTTAATGCAGAGCGACTTCATACTGTATGTGCATTTTTGGTCACATTTTTAGGCCAGTTTGTATATAGTTTTTATTTATTATTAACTTTTCAGAGATGTGTGTTATTTCTAAACTTATTTTAAAAAGTCTCCCTCCTCCTTGTTCTTCTCCAATCAGCTGAAGGGAAAGAAGGGATCAGCAACCAATGGAATGGCATCAAAACAAAAGGCAGACCAAAAGAATCAGTCAAAGAAGAATGTAGTCAATGGGACAAATGGAATAGCATCTTTGAAACGCAACAACTCCAGTAAGTAGCAGCAAAAATATGAACACAAGTATGTTAGAAAACTCCAGTAGAGTTTATACTTGCACTGTGAAGGCTAGGACAGTCACTAAAATAAATTACATTAAAAGAACTAGACAGCACTCAGAGAATGCAGACCAAGGGGCCAGGCTGTTTCCCCATAATGTCATATTCTCATGATATCTTGACCTTCATAATATGATTGCTTGGGCCTGAAAACCTACTGTTGGCATTTGGAGTGACCCTGATTGATCATTCTTAGTTTAAAAGTTATTCGTGAAAAATGGTAGACATGACATCCACTTGTTGGTTTAGAGGTAAAACGGTGACTTGAATGAGTGGACTGTGGGCAAAGTGATGAAGACGTCACATTTCTGCAAGTTTGTGTTCTGCTTGTTCAACAGCTGCTTGATAAACTGCTCATACAGTGATGCTTCACATCCTCTGCTCTTCTTCTGCTCAACATGTGTGTGAGAGGGAAGCGCTGTGGGCTGTTGCCTCGCTGGGCTCCTTCAGTCCCTGTCTGGCACAGTGGGCTGTACTGAGCGGCAGCACTCGGCTTCCACTAACAATGAATGGCAGCTGTCACTAACCCGGGGATTTGTCTGTGTTATGTGCTCAGTGCTCAGCAGCGCAGCCATGCACTTTGGCCACAAGGGGGCTCACATACAGCCAACAGTCTTTCCAGCACTCACAGCAGTGAAACATCTTAAGATATTCCTGTATCCTAATTATGTTAGTGATCAGCACCAAAACCTAATCAGCTGTTCAGTGGGCCATGCCTTAGCTCTCCTAAAAAAGTCATCAAAATCTGTTCATTACTTTTTGAATTACATTGTTAACAACAAAGAGTAGAGCAACAAACACCAGTAAAAACATAACCCCCACCCTTGGGCAAGGTAACCCTTGATAACAGGTTACCTTTCCCAGTCCCCAGTCCTGTAAGTGAGCAGCAGACTCTATGTCTGGCTCCCCAGTCCCAGCCTCACCACCACTGATTGCCTTCTATCAAAACTCCACTCCACAGCAATTTGGAAAATGCAGGATGTCCAAATTACAGTTGGTTTAAGTAGGGGGGAGTAAGAAACTCTAAAACCTATCCTAACCTCAAGACGATCCCTGTGACGCACAGGGGCCAGACGTGAACCTCCTGCCAGCTTTCTATATATTTAACAGAAACTATAGCAGAAGTGGGGCCTAGATTGTTGGAGGTGGGTCAAATGTGGTTGAGTTATTCCCTGTGGTTCAGAATAGTATTTTTTTGCCTAATGTGTGAACGAGCAGGGTTATAACCACTTGTGTAGCTTGTCTTTCCTCCAAACGTCAGAATGGAAATACCAAATATGTGTCATGTTGGATTTAGAGTAAGCCTCACATTTCTCACATTTCCACTGTCAAAGTGTATTGAATTTAAAAATGTCAGCAGTGGTTTGATTGACTGATGCCTCATAAGCAAAGTTGACATGCACACACATAGACACACCATGCTGGATGGTTCCTCTCACAGGATTTTCCAGTAAAGCATGGTCTTGGTTGTACTTAATGACTGCTACAGGCTGTGGCTGAGTTCAGTGGGTTTGTGGGCCTTTCAGGTCTCACCAGTGTCCTGATAATGATAAAAAGGCTATGATCTCATTTTCATTTTTTCTTGGTTAGGGATCTTGCTGTCATGGAAAATCTCATATTTTTAGATTTCATAGGCAATGCACTGTCACACAGGGGCACTTGGGGGCAGGTTTAGCCTTGTTCTGGTGTGGAGTACTGCTAGCACTTTATTCTTATTTAAGTCTAGTAGTAAATTCGTAGCAGAACCTTTTTACTTTTAACAAATTTTGGTAACAAAGGTTACAAACAACCCAAAATTATACAGTACATTAAAATAACAAAATGGTTTGCCATTACGTTTTATTTCTCAGCTGAGGAGAGGTTTGTGGTTTATTATTCAGAAGGCAACAAAGTGTGTTTCACGACTACATTACAATGACAGTTTAGGAAGATTAGCAACCACTTTGTTTGAAGGGGAAAGCACATTGTTAATGGTAATAATAATCTATCATGGCACATAAAACGGAGTTTAAACAGAAGCTACAGTAATTCGAAGTTAAACCAGATGGGTGTTCACAGAAGTTACTGTGTTCATTGTTTTTTTTTTCTTTTTGCTTGTTTTTATTATCATAGAATTTTCAGGGTAAAATATTTGCAAATTGGTTCAGCTCTTCCAGAGCCACAAGATTAAGCAGTTCAAAAGAATCATTCACCATGGAGTTTACAGTAGCCTGGAATTCAGTCTGGGATACCAAGGCCTTTAAGTTTTCTGTGGAAACTATTCAAAGTGTCTGGAGCATGATCATGAAGCCATGATGTGAACAGTTACATGTGAGCAACTGCAATTTTGACACATATAGAAACAGGCAGGTGACTCAGCCATTTCATCATATTTGGATTTCTATATCTTGTATCCAGCTTCTCCACACCAACTCTGTTGTGCAGATGCAGAACAGTGTAAGTACGGGAAGAACCGTGTGGAGGCAGATGCCAAACGGCTCCAGGCCAAGGAGGAAGAGCTGATGAAGAAGAAGCAGGAGATCAGGAACCATCTGACCCAGCTGAAGAATCAGAGGAGAGACCTGCGCACTGCTGTGGAGGCTGCTGCTGGTAAGACAGAGTCATTAAAGGATTTATGTCTGAAATTTCAGGAAGCATAGAAGTTAAATCTTTAGGAAAAGGTTTTGGATGAGGTTCTGGATGAGGCTCATCAACTTTTCCACCCGATGTCCTGCCAGGTACAAGTTTATTAAAGTGTTAATTGTCCTCTTTTGCCCCATTAGGCAAACGTTCACACACTTCCCTGTCTGAGCGACTGAAGAAGGTGGAGGAGGAGTGCAGGCAGAAGGAGGAAGAGCTGATGAACCTGGAACTGGAGCTGACTGAGCTGAAGGAGAGCTTGAAGAAGGCCTTGAGTGGAGGGGTCACCCTGGGCCTCGCCATCGAACCAAAAGCTGGCTCCTCCCATCTCCAGGTCAGAACACCTGCATCGTCCTGTGGCTCATTAATGGTGCTTTAACACTCTGTTCAGAATCCCTGATGTTGAAAAGGAACTTGAAATTGCCAACAGACATTTGCGCACTGCATGCCACCATTATCCATCTATTTCTTTTCCTTATAGTCTCCTACAATGTTGAGGCGGAACCAGGAGTCTTCTCCCTTCTCCAGCTGTGACACCAGTGACACAGAGTCCCTGTCCCTGCCAGTCAACAGCGCCTCACTGCTCCGTCGGCAGCAGCATGGGCAGAAGACCTCGCCAGTTCGGGGACACGTCCTCAGGAAGGCCAAGGTCAGAGACTCTGGCTTGTGAGGAGTTCGTAAAGGCATGGAATGGATTCACAGGGACACTTTCTTAGTGCTGGTACATCTTCAAAGAAAGATGCAGCAGCCCAGTCTTATTTGCAGGCTATATTTGACTCTACTTAAGGATAGATTGTACTAATGTGACAATCAGTCTAACACAGTTATCATTCTTTACTTTTATTTTGGGGGATAATCATGCTTGAAGTTTGGAAGAATACCTTGTATACTTTGAGGGATGTAAACAGGAAGTATAACGTTGCCATGTATGTGGCTACAACTTGAGCCCCAATTTTTTTCTGTATTTGTTTACATTTTGACAAATTGGCACCATTAAAAAGTATGCTGAGATGGCTATTAGAAGTGTCTGGTTGCAGTGCAGCCATGGATGTACCGACTGACCTAGTTTGATGCTGATGAAGTTTTAAAAACATATGTATTCTCAGGCAAGTTATAAAGAGCATCTTTTGTCCATGATTTATGGAGAGAACTAATCTGAATCTAAAACTATGGATGATATGTGTGACAGAGTTATGCTGCCACTGCTGACTGGCCCAATCAGTGGCCAGTAACAAACTTTCAGGACCTGCAGTTTTGCAAAAACACCTGCAAACTCATTTGTTTCTTTGTGTGTGTGTTTTTCAGGAGTGGGAGCAGAAGAATGGCACATAAACCGCTCAACCCCTTGCATCAGTCTAACTCCTTTTTTCTTTTGAAGAAATTGTGTATATATTTATTTAAAACTGTGGATACAGTCAGAGATGGCGTTGAGGAGGACACAAGCATAGCATGCACATGAACCAAAACAAGTTTTAGTGGAGGCTACTGTAAGTACCACATACAGACATAGCGACCTTTTTACACTTTTAGACTATTGAGCATGCTTAGTGTACTAAGTTGTTATCCGCTGTACTTCTTTGTCAAGCAACCACCGCTCTTTTTTTTTTTTTTTTTTTTTTGCCATTCAAAATTGGTTCCTTGCACTTTGGGTTCAGAAAGGTCAAAGGTCAAAACCAAGTATTTATTTGTAAATGTTTAAAGGAAACCCTAGCTTCCCTTTGTTTATTTATGTTGATTATATTTAAAGGTTTTTGTAGTGTTTGTGGACACAATCTCATTTCCTACACAGTTGATGATTCACATTTACAGATGTCAGTGTGAGCACACACAGTGCATCTTCAAGGGTCACAGTAGTCATATGGTAACAAACCAGCTGGGTAAAGCCAGATTTAGACTTGTCTGCAACCATCACCAACCTACATTTACCCATAAACCCCTTCACTGCGTAGGTACATGTCGACACATACGCGCATTTGCTAAATTAAGCTTAATTTAGCTTAATTAAATGCAACATTAAATGCCCTCTCTGAGGCGCATTTAAAGAAGCAGAATTATTCTCAGGATCATCTGTATGCAGCTACTGTAAGACGTTGACATGTTCAACTAAAGGGGACTGATTTATTTAGAGCAGTACCGTTACTGAAAATGCATCTATTTCTTTTTTCTTTCTTTACCAAATTCACAAATTAAGGCTATAATAGTGGAGTGCATAAAAATGGCATAAGCTGATGTGAGATGTCATAGTTGGGTCAGTGTAATGCTGTTTCTGTAATGCACCAAATATTATAATAGCATTAACCCTGTAAAGCCTCATGCATCAAAAAAAGAGCCAAAACATTCTAATATTTTGGAAGTGAGATATTTATTAACCCTTTTAACAAAATCCAAAAGAAAATTCAAGATTCAAGACTTTTATTTGCCATTTATGCATAGACAGACAGTCCAGGCATATAGGAATAATTGTGCTATATTATTTAGATTATTATTATTATTATTATTTTGTATCACATTTGACACATGGGGCATTTTTGGCAACTTTTTTCTGCTCAGAAACCCACGTAGCAAATATGATACAAATGGTTTTATAGGGTTAAAAAAAGAAATAAAAATTATAATTTATCTACTCTTAAACTGAAAAGAACAGCTACTATAGATACCACAGAACCAGTTAACAGTAAAGAATATACCTTCCTAAATAATACAACTAAAGAAATGGTGTTTGATGCACAATAAACAAGTGAGCTGATACAGAGTCACAGTGACTCACTGGGAACAAACAGCTGCGCTTGCCCAAAAAACTGTCCTTTCAGTGCCGCAAGGCCTTTGTGCCTAGGGGACCCAACTGTCCAGCAGCAGCCTGGTCCCTTTGCACAAACCTGTGTTGCATGAAATCAGATACTGTATGTGTATTTTGAAAGGCTTCCAAGAATAACATAAGACGGTGTTACATACTTGGCTGTAGAAAATGTGCACCTGCTTTCAAGCAAAGCTAATCATTCAACCCACAGACATCCATGAATTGAGCTCAGACACACTGAGCTTCCTGCTCAGCACTCCTTCATCTGTATGCGACTAAACCCAGAAATTAGCCCAAGCCACTGAAAGACAGTAAAAACTAAGTTGCTGGAAGAGACTGGACACGGACTTGTGATACAAACCCATTTCTAGAAAAGTTGGGACATTTTCCGAAATGCACTAAAAACTAAAATCTGTGATTTGTTATTTTTCTTGCACCTTCATTTAACTGACAAAAGTACAAAGAAAAGGATTTCATTGTTCGTGTTTACCTCTGTGTTACATCTCCTTTGCTTTGAATTACACTTTTTAATTGTTTAGGAACTGAGGATAATAATTGTTGCTGTTTTGCAAGTGGGATATTGGCCCATTTTTGCTAGATACAAAACTTCAGCTCAACAGTCCATGGTCGCTGTTGTCTGATTGTCTTCATCATGATATGCCTTACATTTTTAATCAGGCAGGCCAGTCACACGCAGGCCCTCTGTGTCTACAAAGCCATGCTATTGTAGCATATACAGAAAGAGGCCTGGCATCGCCCTGCTGAAATATCCACGGACTTCCTGGTATATTGTCTTGATGGCAGCAAATGTATCTGTCCTGATGGTCTTTGCCATCTTTGTCACAGAGAACCCGACGTCCGTTTTTCCTGAAAACAAGCTGAAACATGAACTTGTCTAACCGTGGAACGGTTCCACTGTCTTTCGGCCCATCTGAGATGAGCTTGGGCCCAGAAAACTCAGCGGTGCTACTGCACAGAGTTGATGTATGGCTTCCTCCTTCCATAACAGAGTTTCAGGCTGCATTTCCAAATGCAGCGGTTGACTTTGTTAAGTGACAGCAGTTTTCCAAAGTCCTCCCGAGCCCATGTGGCTATATTAATCACTGTATCATGACAGTTTCTCATGCGGCACCTTCTGAGGGCTTGAAGGTCACACACTTTCAGCAGTGGTTTTCACCTTTACACACTCAGATTTTGTGTGATTCCCTGAATTGTTTCGCGATACTATGCACTGTAGATGATGAAAGACCTAAATTGTTTGTAATCTTGCATTGAGAAATATTATTTTTGAACTGACTGGTAATTTTCTCATGAAGTTTGGCACAAAGTGATGCGTCATGACCCATCCTTAATTGCAAACACTGAGCCTTTGGTAGATGCTCCCTTTGTGCCCAGTCATGACACCCTCACCTGTTACCAGTTAACCTACTCATTTCCACAGTGGTGTTACTGGAGTCTTCTGTAAACTTTTCAGTCTTATTTATTCTCTGTCCCAACTTTTTTCTGTGTGCTGCAGGCATCAAATCCTAAATGTTTTTATATTTACTAAAGTTAAAGATTCAAGCTAATTAATAAATCAATGATGATAGTTTTTAATTGCATTTTGGAAAATGTCCCAACTTTTCTGGAAATGAGGTTTGTACATCCATGTGTTCAGTGTCCTCTTACAGTTAAATCCATTTACCTTTACTTTCTGCATAACTCCTGTTAGTATTACTTTAGTAAAACATCAAGGAAAGTTAACACATCTGTCAGTAAGACATAAAATTATATCTGAGGCTGGATGAACCTTTCAGTCAGCGACTGAGACATTTGTCCTTCTCCACCAAACAGTTTCTCCTTATGTCCATGCGTCTGTGCACCATGACCAGCAGAAACCAGCAATGATCCCTCACATATTTGTCCTCCTGCTAGTGGGACCTATTCATGAAATATAAACCAGGACTGGGGAGCTAGTGTGACATAGTCTGGTCACTGTCCACATCTCTGGCAGTGTCCACAAAACACGATGACAAAAATTGGGCTTATTTTTAATGACTCACGTCACCCACCCCTACAGTAACTAAAGCCCATTGTTACAGTTTGCTTTCAAAGCCACCCAGTGCCTCATTAACCACGCTGTATCAGAGTTATCTTGCGCACACAGTTATTGTGCTTCTTTAAATAATCCCTAAGTGTGATGATGGGTGGCTGTCATCAGGCTGCAGCAGGACTCCAGCTGCGTGTGAGGTCAGGCTCAGGCGTTGCTGCCCTCACAAACCTCCAGCAGCATGGCTGACTTAGTCCCTCGCCCAAGAGCCTCAGTCCAGATCCTCTGATCACTCCACTGGTCATCTGCAGCCCTGTGGCCTGACTCTGTGTGTGTGATGTGTGTGTGCTAACATGTCTCCAAGGCACATTCCAAACTCATCAACAATACACTGACTGAAACAGGGACACTTACTGAAACTTTTTGCAGGGTGTTCTGCATAATCAAAGACTGTGACTGTTTTTGACTGCAACACACACACGTGCACACACACTGTCACATTTTTATGGTGCTTTCTGATAAATGCTTCATGTGCCACTGCCTATGTGCTGCCATGTAGATGCTGTTAAGTATAAAAGGCATTGTTGACAGAAGCAGCGTTGGCGTGCATTGCTCGAGTTTTGACATCATGCTACGTACAGAACAGGGGCAACAACTGCTTTTCAGGCTTGTAAATATTTTCCGGCTTTCAGATGAATGCCCCCACAGGTCTGCGAGCTACAGTGTATTCAGCATGTTAGCATGAAGACAGGCGTGTGGGGGAGTTTCCGCTACAAGTATTTAGTTGATCCCCTGTCAGCTGAGCAGGATCTCTGATATCAGTAAATGTGAACCTGCTGTATGTGGCATGGCATTGTGGGAAAGGGTTGGCGTGTGGTGTGGAGGGGACTAAAGATTCATGCGTCAGTGTTTGTTTTTGCACCTTATACACTTTCTACTCTCTCGTGTATCTCAGACTGTCTCCGCTTTGGTGACTAACATGCTTGTACATAAACGAATAAACCTCCTGACAAACAGCTCTCTGTGACTTTGTGCTTTATGGCTGGTGTTGTTATGAATATTCATTGGTTTAAAGTCCAGGATGAGGTTTTCCTGTTGTGCATGCCAACATGGAAATTTGAACACCACTTAGATTCACAGAGACACCTGTGTTTTACCACATAGGAAATAGAATTACAGAAAAGTAATTGTAATGATGGTATTGACCTTTCAATTGCCTGTTTTCAACCTGGAATCTTATTTCAGTTTCTGTATGTAATTAAATATTTTCAGGTTAGTTTTTAAATTCCAGTATTTATTTTTACTCACTCATTTATTTTTAAATTCTGTTAAATGATTTTTCTAAATCTTTTTTTAATTTGACATTAATGATTGACATGGATTTATTTGTAAATTCTTGTTTGACCATAAATATTTTCTTCATTGTGTGATTTGAAGAGTTGACCTATCAGTTATCCAAAAAATTCAAATGTAGCCAGAACAGTGTTCCAGGGTGTAATCTGGCTTTGCAGGTCAAACATTTACACTGTAATCTAAAGAATACATAGCAACAAGTTGCAAAAAATCAGAAAGATCTGTCACATTTACAATGAGCCTGCCAAATTAAACAAAAACACAGTAAGTACCCCCTCACAAGGTAACAGCCTCCTGGCTCCTCTAAGCAGCAATGTTAGTAAACACTATGCAAATGAAAAGTGAATTGTGCATGTAGGAGGCTGCTGAATCCTAGTTTTGCCATGTTTCAGTCGGCACCATCAGACCTACAGCAAGTAGAGATTATCATGGCTTAGATGCAGCAAAAAAAAGTGAAACCAGTAATAAACTGTGTTTCATAATATGTAGTATTAAGAGGTCTAAAATGTCACTTAGTGAACCTGCAGAAACCCTGTACTACAGGATGCTGTCACTTGGACACAAACATATTGTTTTGGGGTATTTGCTGAAACATGGCCCTGCTCTGTCCCTAGAGAAGACAGTCTATACAAGTGACATACAGTATTTACAATGCAAATCTCCTACACACAATAAATGTATGACTCAGCATCAATGTACTGTGCACTTTCAAATCATCAGAGAAATACATTTACGTACTTACATACTGAAGCTGTGGTTAAATTTCCCTAAATTTGCTTAAGAGCAACAATGAAAGTGGCAGAGTTTCCTCTTTATCGTGTACAGTGACACATGGTTCACAGAGCAGCGTGATGATGGACAGGATGTTGCTGGGAGTCTTTTATCTCTCAGGTCAGTGAAATCTGATCATGTTTAACTGTTCCTTTTATTGTGTGATACTATAATGCTGGCATTGTGAAATATATGTATGTTGAAGCCACCTTTCATGCTCAGACATGTTGATCAAAGATGTTTTTTCCTCACAGGCTGGCTAACCTTCTCCACATGTCTTCTACACCGGTACCACTTTGCTAATGTTTCTATGACTCACAATGAAGCAGAGACCTACTGCAAAAAGAGATAGAAAAACCTGGCCACTATCGAAAACCCTGAAGAAATGAACCAACTTATCAACACAGTTTTATTTGCTGGGTACAACCCTGAGGTCTGGATTGGTCTGTACTTTAACTTATATCAGTCATTGACATATGACATAAGGG